AGGTTTCTGTGGAGTGTGGAAAGAGTGTCACACTTGGTAGGTGTCCCCATTCCATACTAGAATGGCTCAGATTCGAAGCAGGATTTTCTTTGCCATTAGCCAAAGTGTGGCTCACCATGGTGGTAAACTGGGCAAATGAATGTGGCACAGAGAACATTAGTGTGCAGACATCCAAATCCCACCTCCCTGCACCACTCACGGCATTCATTCTCAGGGTGTGGAATTTTCTATGAACAATCACACAAGTTTCGCATCTGTGCTGGCTAGTTTTGTGTCAATCGGACACAAGCTAGAGTTACCAGAGAAGACAGAACCACAGCTGAGGAAATGCCCCCATAAAATTGGCCTTTAGGCAAGTCTGTGAGAGTATTATCCTGATTAATGATTGATGGGGGAGGGGCCCCCGCAGGAGCCAGTGCATTCTTGGGCTGGTGGTCCTGAGTCCTATTAGAAAGCAGACTGAACAAGCCATGAAGCCCCAAACCAGTAAGCAGTATTTCTCCATGGTCTTTGCATCAGCTCCTGCCTCCAGGGTTCTGCCTTGACTTTCTTTATGATGGACTGGGACCGGGACTGGGACATGCAAGGTGAAATAAACCCTTTTCTACACAAGTTGCTTTGGGTCATGATGTCTTATCACAGAACTTGAAACTCTATTAAGACAGGATCCCTGCTTTTAAAAAAGCAAATGAGCAAGGGCACGACAAACTTCAATGGCCGTCCAAGAACATCACGTTCTTGCTTCCCTCTTCCTCTAGCATCCAGGCTGTGAGCACATCTGTAAAGCAGGTGTTACAGTTGCTGTTCATGTATTCGGGTCTCTCCAGCCCTTAGCATCACCACACGCATAAACTGATTTTATAAAATCCCATTTCTGAGTTTTCCTGTGCGTGTTCATTTTCTGCTCACTCATTCGCGATGCCATCTGTGAGAACAGGCTCCATTCACGAACGGCAGCAGGGGTCAAAGTGTTAAAAAAATTAAGGAGGAAAAAAAATTGAAATCGATCAAACCCTATCCTTTGTTTTCCCTTCCGCAAATTGAAAAACGACCGTCATTATGCCATTCGGGGAGAAGAAACATCTTCTCTTTTGTGTGCTATGTGGGCTCTTTTGGAAATCAGTCAGCACTTTCTAGATGATGGGCAGCATCCGTGGAGCCATGGAGGGCCACAGATGGGCTTCAGGGCTTATGCCTTGAGCCCAGCCTCATGGCCATGAAAATTTTTCCTGGGAGGGGGATTCATAGCTTTCACTTTATCTAAAATGACACAGTGATCCAAACAAGATTAAGAATCAATACGCTTCAAGAAGCAAAAAGAAAAAAAAAACATGGAAAAAGGATCTTATGTACTTGCGTGCACATGTGCGCACGCATGTTCATTTCTCCCTTTCATGTCTCTCTTTGGAGTCCTTTACTTGGTCCAGTCTCCTGAACTCTGCCTATTCTAACTGGGACCTGGCTTATACCTCACTTCACGCCCCTTCACCTGAAACCCAGATCTACCTGTATGTTTGTCAGTGTTTCCATTCAGACTATAAACGTCATGAGGGCAAACGCCTGGTACACAGCAGTTGAGGTGAATGAACGGTGGGCCTGTGTTCTTCATGTTTTGGCTGTTGGCCTCTTGTTTGTCTTCCTGTTCCTCCACTTTGCCAGGAAGCTTGCTCCATGCAGGATGGGGACGGCCCCCATTATGTGGATCGGGATGGCAGAACTCTCCTGCGGAAGGAATTCTTTGATCTCTTTGATCTCTCTGAAGCCCCTTTCTTCTCTCTGAGGAATCCAGTCACTGGGGCCTACAGGGACCCTTGGCTGCACATTCCAAGAACTACAGGTTTCAAGTCTGTGAAGGACGAGGTCACCAGGCTTCTCCTTGGACCTCTCTGCCCAGATGGGCTGAGCCCAGCTTCCTGGAAGGAACATATCACCTGGCAAGCCCACACTTGTGGGCCGCAGGATCCCATTGCCACCCCTAGCTTACTAGGAGCTGGACCCTCAGGGGACTCAAGTCTCTCATTTGTGATTGTCACACTAGAAGCTACTCTCTAGGCATGCTCACAGTTAAAACAGCCACAAAAATAGCTTCAATCTGGAGAGAGGAAAATAAAATAACTCTGGTGACTTTGCCAAAAACAACAAAGCCACAGCCTGTGTGCAGCCAGTGCGGTCCTTGGCACAGCTTGGATGCACACAGAAGGACTCATTCCTTTTGCTCCACTGACTATAGCCGCCTCCTAGACTCTCTGTCTGTGAGGCCGCGGGCCACTCATTAATCAACTTATCTCAGCCTCCAAGGCCACTGAGAATCCAGCCTTGAGATGGGGCCATGGGACTGTTCTCAACTTCAAGTCTTTGTGTTGTTTTCAGTGATCCCTTTGACTGTGACATTGCTTGAGCGTCCTCTACACACCCGACACTCCCTGATGATCACTCAGAAAACATCTGTATATACATTTCTTAGGACACTTGTTTGAAATGACAGCAATATAAACGCCTTGTCACTTACTGGAATTTAGACTATCTTTTGTTAACGATTGATACCTGAATTGCTTTGCTTTTTTGAATTTTATATGTGTGTGTGTACACACACACACATGTATGTATATAAATATTTAAATAGGTTAAGTATATAGACTTACCCTAAACTGAACGAAGCCAGAACCCCCTAATTGGAAAGGCTACATAGACGTGTGAGGCCCAGAGTAATATAAATGTGTCTGAACAGTCTTTGCCCCATCACAAAATGATCCCTCTCCCTGATTTATATTTTTCCTGGAAGGAAGCTAGAAATCCATTGAAGCAGTTCAAATAGCATCTTCAGTTATCAGTTTTTAAAAATGTATGAAGTTGTTAAATTGGAAGAAGGCAGAGGCATCAGACAGGCTCCTAGATATCCAAACAGGCATTTCACTTTGTTCCTGTCACTGATGGAAGCAAGTCTGAGGCCAGCCTTCAGACCCCTGTCCTTCCACAGTTCAGCCACCAGTGGGACACTTCCCAGCTGAGTGAAGGGAGGGGTGAGTTTGTCTCAGGAGAGAGTTCCTTGGTCTGGCAAAGACTGAAAGAAAAATCACGTTTGGCCCTTTGTGCTTTAAGCAAGTCATCATGGTAGGTCTGCAAACAGGGCTGGGAGTCTGGGAGCTGAGGGGTACATCTTGACACAGTTGCTCATTCTGTGGGTGACCCAAGTCAGTCTCTCCCACCCCAGTTGGGTTTATTCATTGAGAAAAATGAGGGCGTTAGGCTATGTGACCCAACAGGCAGAATAATTCCCCATGAAGATGTTTCCAATCTGATCACTAGAACTCATGACCCTAGATAGTAAAAAGAGCTTCACAGATGTGCCGGAGGGAATAACTTTGCGATGGAGCAGGTTGTCCTGGATTGCCTGGTGGGCCCAATGGAGCCACAGAATGCCTTTAAAAGCGAAAGAGGGCAGAGGGAGGGAGGTCAGGGTTGGAGGGAAATGTGATATAGAGGGTCCTGCGATGGGAGAAGACGGAGCAGCCCTAGATAACCTGAAATAAGCAGGAAGGGGCCATGAGTCGAGAAACATGGTGGGCCTCTAGAGGCTGAATGAGGTGTCGTCGTCGTCCTCCCTCCACCCCCAGCTTCAAGAAAGAAATGCAATCTTGTCACTTCAGCCCAGTGAGACGGGTGCCAGACCTCCCAGGAGAGTAAGATGATACATTGTGTTAAATGACACTATGCTATTAGTGACTTACTGCCTCCACAATAGAAAACAACACAGGAAACTTTCCAGATGAGCCGTTCTGCCTTCTTAAGAATGGTTAAGAGTTCAGGCAACCACGGTGAGAGTCTGGGTACATGTTAGTGTGGGGGTGGGCATTGCAGCAGAACACTTTCCTACCTGTTCTTGCAGTTTCCATCACCTCCTCCTGGCCAGGCTTATGCATGTGACAGGTGTATATATAGAACTTGTTCCAGCTGGTGGCAGATAGTACGGCCACTGTGCTTGGAATCTGAAGGGGTCTCATGCCAGACATGACCTGATCCGGCACCTTCCCTTCACATAGGGAAACTATGATCATCCTCAAATCAAGGGAGAGAGCCCAGAGAGGGTGAGAGTGTCGCCACCATCAGCTACTGAGAGGAGAGGCTCATGGGCCACAGTTGCAGACAACTCTTCAACTCAACAGGCTGGAGAAATCACAGTGTGGTGAGGGGTAGGGGAGAGAATGATACAGAGTAGAGACTAGAACCGGAACCCCTGTTCTGACGGGTTCTGTCCATGAATACGCACATGGGGGGGGGGAGACTCAAGGTGCATCAGACCTGTCTCCAGTACTGGGCAGACCCTGACTTAGGAGTGCTGGGGCTTTGTGGCTGGAAGGCAAAACCTAGCCTAGAGGAACCGTCACCATGGAACCAGCAAGGTGTGATTCTGCCCAAACAAGAAGCTCCCATTTGCCACTCAGAGGCTTCAAAGGGTGAGCATGCACCTGTGACCAGCAACGGCACCTTCAACCCGTGTCTCATTTGGATATCCTCTTTGGAGTCACATGCTTCAAATGTGACTGATGCAGGGACAAGGCAGGTCAGTTCCCTGGGGTAAGAATTGGGCATGAGAGAGGGTCAGATGGTGACCGGTGAGAGGCCACATTGGCTCTGTGTCTCACCTGAACTCACAGACAGGGTTGGGAGAACTCAGGGCGGCAGAGCGAGGCGCCCTGGAAGGTCTCTTTGTTAGGGCTTTCTGCCATGGGTAGCTTCTGTCTCTCCCTTTTAAACAACACTTACATTCGGTGGTGTCCTGCAGAACACAGGATTTGACCTGTTAGTGGATCATGTAGACAGCTGATTAAGTCCTGGCTTAGATTAGGATAAAACACACAGTGCGCACACCTTGAAAAGGAAGCACGGTCGATGAACCTTGCAAACACATTCTCCGTAGCTTTGGCTGGCAGCTCTGAGGCTTTCCTGCGCTCTCAGAGACAGAAAACTAGATGCGGAGAAAAGGCAAGACAGATGTGGCCACTTCCACAAGACCAGCTTTTAATATGACTGTGGTTCAAAGCACGAATAAATAAACTCCAAAGAAAATGGAAAACCCAAACCGAACCTTGGAACATCAAAACCAAAGCCCATAAAACAGAGCAAACCGAAACAATCAACAGACGAACAAAAACAGCCCCCGCCCCCAACAAAACAAAACGAAAAGAAATCGAACTCTACAGCTGTGTCACAGGGTGAAAAGGACGTGGCTCCATGGACGAATACTGGGGTCCTCCAGGCCACTGTACCACCTCCACAGGTGCTGGGATAAGAAAGAGGTCGGCACTGGTCACCTTTAGTGCAGGGGCCCCAGGGGCCGTTTAGGGGACAAGGGTTTGTGGGTAGGTTAAGAACCTTCACAAACAACACAAGGGTCAAACGTTGTAGAGAGTTCTGTGGTTTCCTTCTTGACCGTGCAGTTTTGATTCCAGAGCTGGGCTCAGGGTGGCTTTGGGGTTGGAACCTGGTCCCACTGCATGGGCAGCAGAGTGGGCTCTGGAAACTGTACGGAGAAAATAGCATGTACAAGACAGAAGTGGAGGTGGCGCCGTAAGAAGTCTGAGCATGCAGGTGCTTTGTACATCTGGCAGTGAGATGTGATGGCAGATTAGTTCTCGGACAGCTCCGGAGTGGGACTCGTCAGTCCTACAAGGGACAAATGGCAGGGCCCGGGAAGGTTCATGTCAGATGTGGCCAGAGTGAGGTTTGGCAGAAGTTCGCAATGTGTGCATAGGGGGAGCTCTTGCTTCTTTCTGTCATCAGGGGCCATTCCACCTGAGCTTGCTGTCCCCTGTCCTGGGTCTTGGGCCTTAAGGTCTGTTTGGAGGTGCTGGGTTGCCCGAGGTGTCAGCAGGCAATCTCCTCCAGCGTACCCAAAGCTGTCTGCAGGGGCACATTCACAGTGTGGCTGATGGTTTCAGAGTGGTTCGGTATTGTGTCACAGGTGCTCTGCAGGGAAAAGGAAGGGACGCTCGTCACTCATTCAGAAAACTCTATTGCAAAGTCCTGGGAGTCTCTAAATATCAGGGTGATCAGCTGATCCGAACTTCAGGATTGGCCCCGGGGAAACAGAAGAGTCCCTGAGCAGGGTAGACCTGAAACATTGTACCTCGCCCGAGGGTCCCAGGCTGCAGTGTGCAGAGGGTTGAGAGATGTGGGAAAAGGAAGGACCAGACAAGAGGCTGTGCCAGGGATGTGGTGCTGGGGTCAGTGTGGAAGGGGTCGGATGGGGAGGGAGGGGAGTTGATGGAGACAGAGCTGGGGGAGGGGACACAGGTGAAAGGAGGTCATGACTCTGAGACACTCTGAGGAAGGAAGGGAGGTGGAATGGGAATCACAGCTGGTGGTGCACTCACTATCTCTGAAATGTAAGCACAATCTCTCCTAACCCCATGAGTCCCCTCTGAGGCTTTATGATCCTAGCAGATGCTTAGGGAGGCTAAGAAACTTCCCTCAGGCACACAGTCAGGACTCAGAGGACCTAGGCAGCACCCAAGACAACTCTTGCTTCTTTGCTGTCTTCTCCTTCAGCAGAGGCTTGCCTTCTGTCCTACAGAGCCTCCAGGAGTCCAGAGTTGTCCTTACCATGTTCTCGTCATGGCTCCCTTCCTCCTCTTCTTTGCCAAGCAGGTCTAATAGCTTCTCTTTGATCAGCTGTCAGGAAGACAGGAAGTGCACGGTCAGGCTGGGAGGATGGTGCAAAGGCCAAAGGGCATCCTTCCTCAGGGCTGAACCAGGGGATCACACAGTGAGGGTGTGGCAGTGGCTGTACGTACAAAGGCGAGAGCTCTGCCCGGTGGACTGCTCGAGGGCCTCACTCGCTCAAGCTCACCTTTTGGCTTTCATGTGATTTTGTTGCTCCAAACAGAGCTTGGGAGAGGGTGGGGGAGGGCTCCGCCTTGCTGTGTGGACCTCTTTCTCCAATGGAGAAGTTAAAGGCACTGGTACACTCAGATCCGCATGGGTCCTAGAGAGCGTTCTGGGACCTCTTTCTCAGTAGCTCAGGTTGGCCTCAAGTTCACCATCCTCCTGTCTCAACCTTCCTGGTGTTGAGATTACAGAGATATGCCACCACACCCAGCTTCATTAGTCACTTTCAAGGACTGCTTCCTCCACAAGATGAGGGCATGGCCAGGGTTATAACACTTTATTTGTAGCAATTAAGGGTAGTTCTTAAATATGCTCTCTAATGCGGCTCAATTTGCCGTTTGCTTTGTACGGCTTTTCAGGAGAATGACTAAATAATGCAGAGTAAGAATCGGGCCTTCTCTGGGTTGTAATCACACGCTGAGGGACACACGAGTCTCTGCACTGGTCACAGGGGCTCTACTGAAATGATGTGTGGGGGGATTTTGCCTTTCCTGGGAGGCAACGGGATGGCTGATACCCAGCATCCGGAGGGAATATGCACCATGGGAGTCCTGTGGGACCTTTGGGATCACCCCCTGTTTCAGGGAGGCACACCCAGCCTGGGGTGAATTGCCCATCTGTGGCCAGGGACGTGGAGGTCACCAAGTGATCACCATGGCAGGGCAGTGCTGGCATGGAACCTATTCACAGGTAGGTGAGTCCGTTAAAACAGCTGCTCTTCAGGTAGTTGGCCACAGCTGGTTCTCTGCCCAGATGAGCCGTGGGCAGAGTAGACCAAGGTAGGCTTGCTCTTGCTAGGGTTAGGAAGTTGTAAGAGCTGCCATGCTCCAGGGCCTCTGAGAATCTTTTAGAAATGTGGTCCCAACTGCATCTAGAGGATCACATCTCCCTAGACCGTGGGTGACAGAGGCAGTTAGTGGATACTGTGGTCTTGTTGGGGATTGATGAAGACTCCTGGGACACGTGTCCCCTCCCTAGGGCTGGTTAGGCCTTGGAAGACAGGCCACTCAGAGGACAGGCTTGTGGGTGGTGTGTACTCTTGAGTGTGTTGTGTGTAGTATGCAGATCTGTGCAAGAGGTTTGAGTGTGTTTGTGTGTATGTCTGTAAACACGCTGTGTGAATGCATGTGGTATATGTATGTTTAAGTGTGATATGTTTGTGATGCACGAGCATGTAATATGTTGGGCGTGTGATATGTTGCATACAGATGTGGACTAGCTGGGGTATGAAACCGTGCCCTGGTCTCACTGTGTGAGGGACCCAAGCCTGGCCTCTGCACAGTCTGGCCTCTTCTCATTCCTCCACTCCCTCTCTGTGGCACAGGTCAGACCCAAGAGAGGGCCAGGGCTGCCGTTTCTTTCACATCCGCCTCTCCTTGAGACTCCTGACTTATGCTCTGGAGAAGCGGGTTTGTGTGGGTGGAATGAAGTTATTGCTCAGCCATGCTTGGTTCTCAGTCTGGGCGTTCCACCATTTGGTCATTTCCCCAAGGGTAACCCCAAATCTTACCTCATAAATATAATCAAAGAGCTCTAGTATTGTAAGGATACTAGCACCAATAAACAATCCCATCTGACCACCAATGTCACCTGCAGAGGAAGGGAAAAGACCAGAGATTGGGTTTTACACACAGATCCAGGAAAGGGTGAAGAGATGAGGAGCTCTTGAGTGTGGCCCCTCCAAGGGAAGCCTGGGCCCTGTCGCAGGAGGGCCAGGCTGTTGGCAGGTCCACCGTCACACCTATGCCATTAGCCAACAGGGTTGGGGCTGATCACTCACTGAGAGGCTCATGGGCCTGTTTAGGGAGCAAATGAAGTCCTGAGTCAAAGTGTGTTGTTGACATGCGCACTGCCATGCCAAGGACCCCAGTGCCCCTACCTCATGGGAGTGGCAAAGCCTTCCCTGGGTGAGGCTCAGAGGGAAGGGAACACCTGCCTCTGGTCTGTGTGTGAATGTTAACAGTGTGTGCAAAAAATGCTGACCATAGCTTTCAATCCCAGATGTTTATGGCCTGAAGATGGCTCCTCCTGAGACTAGTGGAACCTGCCTCCTTGGTCAGATATATATAATAATAACCCTGCCTCCTTGTTATCTCTGTGTAATAACCCCACATGCTTATCCAGCTGTGTGTGATAACCCAGACTATTTGTGCAGCTGTATGTAATAATCCCACCTCCCTGGGCTCAAGATGGCTCCCTTTCATTCCCTGCCACCCCCATCCTTCTAGTGCAAGCTTACTGAGGCACTTGCGTGCCTGTGTGAGTATGTCAGGCATGAGGTGTGCATTTGCAGAGGTGCACAGTGCAGCTGGAACACAGTCGGTAGAGACAGGGTGCAGGATGTGTGTAGGCAGCATGTCTGATCACTGACGGTTTTATGTGCATGAATATCTCTGTCTGCTTTAGGCACACAGAATGCATCTATGTGTGTGTGCTAGAGGTGGCTAGAGTGTGCCTGAGTGTGTACAGCAAGTGTGAGCATTATGTAGGTGTAGGTGTGTTCCTGTGTGTGCCATGTAGGCATATGTTATGAGTATGTGGACATAAAGGCATAGATTGTGTCTGCCTAGGTTTGCTGTGTGTATGGAGGTGCCTCTGAAGCCATGTGGTGGGACATGGGGCTGTGTAAGTGTGTGTGTGTGTGTTCTGGTTCTGGAGCACCATGGGTACATGGACCTGTAGGCTGGTTTCAGTGTACATGCCGTCTGTTAGCATGGGGGTGTTGTGTGGTGTGCATACGGGGTAGTGGTGGGAGAAGGCTGAGCTGGGCTTGATGGCTGAAGGTTTGTATGTGGTACACACTTCCCTCACAGGAGGCACAGATGGCGGCACCATTTCCTCACAGGCTATTCTGGGCGGGAACAAGATGCTGGGAACAAGTTCATCCTTATATCTGATGCAGACGTGACAGATTCAAAGCCTGAACCCTTTTTGAGCTCTCTCTCTCTCTCTCTCTCTCTCTCTCTCTCCCTCTGTGTGTGTAAGAGAGAGGGGGGAGGGAAGGAAAGGAGAGAAAAAAGATAATAGGAGGGAGGGTGGGAGAGAGAGGGAAAAAGAGGAGGGAGGGAGAAAGAGAGAGGGAGAAAGAGGAGGAAGATAGGGGGAGAGAGAGGAAGAGCAAGGAGGAAGAGAGGGAAGGAGAGAGAGGAAGGGAGGGAGGGAAAGGGAGAGAGAGAGAGAGAGAGAGAGAGAGAGAAAGAGAGAGAGAAAGAGAGAGGGAGAGAGAGCAGGAGCACACCCGTGCTCATGCAAGCTTGATCCTTTTTGGGGAGGAAAGGGGAAATAACAGGCCTTCCATGGCTGAGTGAGGGGGCATGGCCTGTGCTCTGTGACTTGGGGCCTTTAACCACAATAACCTTCATAGAGGCCTAAATGACAGCTACCCCCACATAGCTGGCACTGAATAAAGGCTTTGTCTCTCTCCTCCTAGATGAAGTATAAAAATGCCCCCATAGCGCTGGTCATACCAGACAGGGCTAAGTTCCAGCATGGTGACTATCTAGGGCCACAGGCCGCTATTGATGGCCTTTATCTGAGCTAACTGCCACAGTGAACTAGGGATGATGGTTCAAGTCCATTGTCGACTAGATTGGGGACAATTAACTAAGTGTGGGGACAACTCTCAATATGTGAGGTACCATCCCATGGGCTGGGGGCCTGGAAAGGGAAAAATGAAAAGGGAAAAAGAGGAAGGAAAGAGCCTGCATGCACAGATATATTTTCTCCTTCCCTCCCTCCCTCCCTCCCTCCCTCCCTCCCTCCCTCCCTCCTCCCCTTCTTCTCCCTGTTTTCTGGCCGCCATGATGCTAGCTGCTCCACTCCATCACTCTGTTCCCACCATGCTGGCCTGCAAACCCCGAAACCATGAGCCCAAACAAGCCTTCACCCTCTTTAAGCTGTTTTTCTCAGGCTTTTTCCTAGTGCTGGAAAGTCAGGCGACATACTGGGTGATTTACAGAAACCAGAGGTCCGGCGAGGGGAAGCCCCCTCCCTGTCCATGGCCCCACAGCTGGCCTTCAGAAAGCCCTTGGATTCAAAGCCTGCTCTTCCTTCTATACTTTCAGGCCTGCCCCTCCCAGGATGCCACTATCACTGAGATCAGTCTCAGGGACAACTGCCACTACTCCTAGGCACTGTGTCCTTTCTTTAGAGTGGGTAGGAGGTGGTACAGGTTGAAGGGTTGGCCCTTGACCAGAATGTGAATGTCCAGATGGGCTAGGGCAGGGATGATCTTAGTTCCTTGTGTGCATTATATCCCATCAGGACCAGGGCAGCCAATGTGAACTTGTGTGGGAGTGGCTGATTGGTGGCCATCTGGAGACATCATCTCTTCTTTCCTGTTTGAGAAAGGGCTCTGGGTCCAGGGGACAACACTCAGCTTCTCAGTACATTGCTGTCAGGCTCCACCTGGGAACTTTATAATTTGGATGCCTGGAGACCACGTAAGTTGAACATACCCTCCTTCCATGCTTCTGCTAGCATTCGGGTCCTGGGATGCTGACTCCAACCTAGATACAGACTATGAAATCCAAGAGGGTAGGCCTGATGATGCCCTGTGAGACCTTTGTGTTTGCTCCTCGCTGCACAGACAAGACTGAGGCCTTAGGATGAGGCCTGAACTGGATCTATAACTGCTACCTCAGCAAGTACACAGAGAGTAACCAGTACGTTAACAAGTGTGCCTCCTCGGGAGGCTTACGTGTCTGTCTGCCTGTCTCCCGCCCACCTCCCCATGCCCATCCAAGAGATGTGGAAATTTATGTGACAGACATTCCAACTCACCAAGTAAGGCAGCGACTTCATACGCTTTCTTCTGTTCAATTGTCTCGTAATTGAGCGCTTCAAAAAATATATCCAGGACAAGAATGTTCTCTCTGCAGAGGGAAAATTAAACCCCACACACAGTTAGAACCCTCAGCATTCACGGGACTGGCCAATCCAGCTTTCCCATGGATGGATAGAGAAAGGGAGGCCCAGGGAGCTGCCAAAGGTAGAGCTCTAGAGCCAGCTGAGTCCCTGTTTGTCCTTGACTCTACTCCCCCTCTCTCTTGGTGACCTTTCTGGGAGTCCAGCCTGGACCCAAGTCCCTGAGTCTTCTGGGGCCTTCTTGGGTTTTAGCATACAAATGAGTTCGGCAATCTCCTGACTAGGCTGGCGTCAATTCAGGTGTCTGCCCCAGGAGAATATCTAAGCGATAATGGTCACTCCGGAGAGCCCTCATCTTCCTCCTGAGATTCCTAACAAGCCGCTTGTGGTGGGAGACCCTGACCTGGCATGATTTAGTCAGTTGTCAGAGCTGGGGAGAATTGTTGAGAGCAGGCCCATGGCTGGCTGGGGAATTCCTGGCAGAAGCCCTGGGCTCCTTCTGTGACTTTCCTGCAGGCAGGTGTGTTAACGAGACACATCTTGGCAGAGAAACTCATTCCTGCTCGCAGAATGCCTTGCTAAGCAGCAGGGCCTGGTGTTTCCTACATCCTAGCCTCCTTCTGTGGGGCCTGACATGTCCTCCATGCCCCTTGTTTTGAACCTGTTGAATAGAAGTCATCTCAGGAAGGGGCCTGGCGACTGTCCTGGAACAGGAGAGTGGCTGGGAGAGAGAGAAGCAAGTGGCTCCCACACTGTGGAGCTGTAGGGCAACGAACAGGCTCCCATTCTCCCATCTGGCTTTCTCCCCGACTGCTGCCTGGAGGGCCTTTCTGAAACGGTTATGCTGACTCGAATTAAAGATCCCAATCCAGTTTCTTAGTCACACAAACGACCACGGCAGATGCTCTGCAGCCAGGCTTGGCCAGGGGCTACCACATCGGGGACCACAGGGGTAGAATCTATCATTCCAGAATGTTCTATCAGGGAGCAGAGTTCAAGAACACAAATCTGACACAGACTATTGTCATTGCTCTTGGTTGACCCCCCCTCCCCACCCCAATGAGGCAGTAAGAACTAATGGTAAAGACATCACACATATTTTGGTGACAGGGCATAGAGAATCAGGCAGGAACTGAGCTGGAAGCTTCCTCCCTGCTGCCCAGCTTTCAAGGTGACATGCAGGTGCTGAGGTAGAAAAGTTGTCATTGGTCTTACTCAGCTGTGACCCCTGTGAGATACAATACTAACCAGCCGGGGGAGATATACCCACTGGTGCAATATGGCATGAAGGTTATAGGGGTAACCAACTACTTTCTGATTGCATTTGAGGCCTCTTTCACAAGAGAGAATCTATACCCACTACTGTAAACCTTCTCAAGAGCCCAAGGCTAGGGAGATTATACCCCCACCCCCGGGAGGGGGTCTAGTACTTTTGTTTTTGCTAAAGGGACATGTGTCAAACTGCCTTCTAAGTCCTCAGTGCAGCTCTCAGCACATGCTCAGAGAAGCTTCTGTTGCAGTGAACAGTCAGTTCTAACACCGAGACTCATAACTGGTTGAGGTGCAGAGAATAAGCAATTGTTGAATGCTAATCTCTAAATGGAACACCTACACCAGCTCCTCCATGCTCCCAAGGCTTGGGCAACGCCATGGAAAAGAAGGCAGAAAGGATGGAAGAGCTGGAGGATAGGGAGGAGTGCAGTGAACCGCTCTGGACACACCGAGGCCACCCACTGCATCTGCTAACTCAGTGGCTAAGGTTTCCTGAACAGGACCTGTACAAGACAGGACCCATCAGCATTCCTGCATGGTTGGGGGAGGACTCACAGGGCCTCACCGAGTGGTGGCTAAGGGAGAAGGAGCTTTCTTCAGGGGTATAACCACTGGTAACTCGCCTACACTTCAGTACATAACCTCACCCATGCTCGTGTGAGCAACCTTAACTGCAGGACACAAGCGCTCTCCAAACAACATGAAAGAGGGGGAGGGGGGTCTTTGGGGAAGAAGAAGAAGAGTCTGCAGGAGGGGGCGGGGGACTGAAAGTTAACAACTTGCGAAATGGCCACAAGACATCACATATATTATGAAATTGTCAACATAACTTAGTAAATAAGTAGAATACAAATTTGATCAGCTGGGCATGGGGACATAGGCCTATAATCCTAGCAATGGGACTTGAGGCAGGAGGATCATGAGTTTGAGGCCAGCCCTCAAACACAGGGAGACCCCTATCTCAAATAAAATTATAAAATACAAATTGACTTTCTAAACATTCAGCTGCTCCATAGTCTAACACAAAGTCTACCCCATGAAACTCCCCGCCCCCGCTTGCCATTAGCTCATCCTATACGACCTGTGACATGTCCATCTTTCCCATTGTCTCTGATGCACCCTGTGCCAACTCTATCCTAAGTTCCCCCACCCCCAGGATACACTCTCTGGCTCATTTACTGTGTCAAGGGATTTTCTGTGCCCCAGGTCTCGGCCAGAGGAGTCAGTACTTGGTAGAGAGCAAAGAACAAGAAGAAGTTCCTGCCACTGGGGAGCTTCCCACTATGATGGATGAGTGTGTAGGGTGGCAATAAAGGAGGCTTCAGAAAGGGAAAAAGAAAGTTAGAAACCGGAGAGGGGCTGTCTAAGTCTCCTAAGAGACCAGATCCCACAGTCTGAAGAAATCAGGCTATGTCCTCCTGCCCAGCATCTCTGTTGTCTGTGCTGTGGCCGACAGATATTAGTGGTACCTGGCTCCTGTAGGCTATTTGTCATGTATGCTATCCCAAACTAAACCACATTATAAAGTTCCGTCCAGCCCCTGAAAACCTACAAAAGCCAGCTAACCCTCCTGTTTGGGAGGGTCATCTGAAGGCTTTCTTTTCTGGGTCCCTCCCCAGCCCCTGCCACCCACCCCTTTCACTGTTACTCTGTAATTTTTCTTTTTAATGATTTGTTTATTTTTATTTCATGTACATTGGTTTGCCTATATGAGGGTGTTAGAACCCTTGGCACTGGTGTTACAGACAGTTGCAAGCTATGATGTGGGTGCTGGGAATCGAACCCTGGTTCCTTTGGAAGAGCAGCTAGTGCTCTTAACCACTGAGTTATCTCCCGGCCCCATGGTTCTATCTTTATCTCTCTTTCTCTTTCAGCTACTCCCGTCAGTGAAGCTCCTTTCCAGGCTTTAAAGGGAAGCCTCTCTTTCCCTTCAAGGTCCCAGCACACGGTTTTTGACATGCTGTTGTTTCTTTCTAATACACTCCCACTTCAAGGCCTGCTCATGGTCTTGGATCTTTCTCCTGATAAATCTAGTTGGTTTTCTTCTTCTTTTAAATATTTTTTTCTGGGCTGGAGAGATGGCTCAGTGGTTAAGAGCATTGTCTGCTCTTCCAAAGGTCCTGAGTTCAATTCTCGGCAACCACATGGTGGCTCACAACCATCTGTAATAAGGTCTGGTGCCCATTTCTGGCCTGCAGACATACACACAGACAGAACACTGTATACATAATAAATAAATAAAAAATAAATAAATAAACATTTTTTCTACATGTGTGTATGTCTTGGTGTGTAAGTGCATGTGTGTGTGCCTGTGTGTGTGTGTGTGTGCCTGTGTGTGTAATATATAACAGGGGCCAGAAGAGGGCTTCAGATCCCTTGGGGCTGGAGTTACAGACGTTTCTGAGCTGTCCGATATGGGTGCTAGAATCTGAACAGCACTCTTGACTGCTGAGTCATCTCTCCACGCCCCCACCCCTTAAACCTAATTCCTGAAGGATAGTTGTGTCAGCTCCTTTCCAGAACAGAACCGCCTGTTTATCAGCAAGTCACACACTGTAGCAATATTATAAAGGAAAACACCACAGTGCCTGGGGAGGAGAATACTCTGACTTTCTAAGGCAATGCTGTTTAAATGGAGACAGGTACCACGAGGAAGCAGGCGGGCAGAGTGGCTGGAAAAGTGTTTCCGGAAGAGGGAACAGAGGCTCAAGTCCCACCAGGAGAATGATACATTCTTTAGAAAGGTCAAGCTCTCCCTGAACCTTGCCCTGAGCAAAGTGCAGTCAACTATGGTTTCCCCCTAGTGTCTGCATATCTCAATTATAGCCAACTTTGTCCCAGATGTCAGTGCCCTATGTGGCATTTAATCCCGCACTTATCTCCCCAGGAGGCTGCAAGCTCTTTGTGGCTTTGTCTTCTGAGCTTGGCACACAGCAGGTGCTCAATTAATGTTTGCTAAATTGAGCTAACTGCTTGCTTTTTGCCTCTTTCTGCATGCCTCCTCCCCACCCCCTCCCCTCCCACTTAACTTACGAGATATATTTTTCAGATTTGTTAAATTTCTTCTCCAGGTACTTGGCTGACGTCTTGCTGGGGATCTTCACCATGGAGAGCTCTTTGTTGTAGCGGGTCAGGTTGCAGGGTGTCCTGCAGAGACAGTAATTGCTGTCCTTTTCTGCCAGGAGGCCTGGAGGAGAGAGGAGAGGGTCTCAGGCAGGCATGGGTGGGGGCGAGGCTCTCTGGCCCAGCATACCTGGATTCTAGGCATTAAGATGCAAGTCAAGAGTGGGAGCTGGGCCCCAGGAAAATGGGCTAGGGAATTGCTGAGCTGGGATGGTGCCAGGGGCTTGTTTTCTTTCTCTTGCTGTTACTGCCCTCTGGACCTTCCAAAGTGTTTGATCCATTGTCACTTTTAGGGAGGCCTGGCCCCTCCCATTCCCAGGGCTTTCTCCTGTTTCTAGCATCAGTGTTCTGACCCCAAAAATGGGCCACCATGGAAGTTAAGATGAGAACATTGTGCTTGGAGCTCAGGACTTCATGCCATTCCTTCTGGTGCTCCCCAGAGCCAACATCATGCCCTCTGCCTGCCGAGACGCTATCCAGGGAAAGATTCTTGAATCCTTATTCTGGAGCAACCTAACCCCCCTCCCCTGATACCCAGAACACAGCTCTCCGGGTCCTCTCCAACCAGACCAGGTGGTCGAAGGCACTGCTGCCTTCTGACAGACTCTCTTCTTGACCAAACTTTAGCCAGGCCCTTGAGAGCAGCTTCTCCACTGCTCAGCCCAGCTTTGGCAAGAAGCCTGCTGAAGGCAACAAAGCAAGAATTCGCACCTTGCTAGTCCTTCACCCTGGCCTGCCTCCAGGAAGAATCCCAGCCCTGTGAGCAGCAAGCCTCCCCTCCCCTGACATGGCTGTACTTTCTCATCTCCTGACCTTTCACAGTGCTTGCAGGTGATGAGTCCCTGACTTCCTGCTGCCTACCGAGATGAATCCCCTACCTCCGTTGTTGCAGTCACCTTGATGTTTAATTGCAAGGGTCCAAAAGTTTTCTCAACCATTAGGAAGAAAAACTGTTCCTTCAGTACTTCCCTCCCTGCCTCTCTCCTTCTCTTCCTTCTTTCCTTTTTTGTTCTCCCTCACCCTTATGTCTCTTTCGTTTGGTTTTCTTATCTTTATTCCAAAGAAGACTTTGCATGCACTGTAAACCAACCCCGCTTCTTGGGCCTCTACCACAGGAGTCCAGCTTTGCCCTCACTTAGTGCTACCAAGAGCAGCTGCTGAGGGAATTGGAGGATGCAGCATTTAAAGTTCTGTCTGCTCTTTCCTGGGACTGGAGAGAGGGGAGGTAGACCACAGGATAGCTGCTGAGCTACCCCAACCCATGTCTAGGTGCTCCCCTTGCCTCCAGGAGGTTTTCCAGCTGGGAGCAGCAGTTCTTTTAGACCTCAAATGCCCTGAAGGCTGTGAGAGGAGGAGGTGGGGAGGTGGCAGCGGTGCATAAGAGGGCCCAGAATGGCTTATGTTTGCACACATGGGATGGAAAAAGATGTCTCTTCAGATGCACTTGGGTTCTCCGTGCACTCATGTCTACATGCATGCGTATGTGCATGCACACGTGTGTGTGTGTTGGCTTCACTGAGCTCCTTCAGGTGAACCAGTGGCTCCTTGACTGCCCTCTCTTCATCTCTGTCCTTTTCCTGTATCCTCCATTCTCTGTGAAATCTACTCCATCACCACCGCTGTGTATCCTTCTCTCCCTCAGTTCCCTACAGCCCTCATCCACCTGTTTCTTCCTCTCCTCTCTCCCTCACCAGCTTCCTGCAGCTTCTCCTGCAGGACTTTTTTGTACGCATCCCTTCCTTGTTCCTTTTCCCAAGGTTGACTTTTGTGTCCCCACCAGATGACCCCACAATCTCCACTTCACCTCCCACTCCCTCTGTCCCCAGTACTGACCGAGGGCAGGCTCTGCACACTCCTTGTGCTGCTCTGGAGTGCAGAAAGGAGCATCCCCTGCAGGGAAGAGAAGCCAAGAGAGAAAGAACATTAATCACATAGGAGCCATGCATGCCAATGGCTCCTCACAGGCCCAGGCAGCGAGTGACTTCCTGTAACCACAGGGAGAAGCTGCCTTCAGGGGACAGTCTGGTGGGTACCAGTGGTCAGTGTCCTCAGATCTGGAGGTGACTTCTGATCCGCAGTGAGGAGACCATGAGACTTGCCCGACCCTCTTTTGGTGGCTCACAGTGGCGGATGATGGGGTAAATTGTCTGGAAGACTGGGGACAAGACGAGATGGGGTGGGGTGGAAGGAGGTTTCTTCTAAGCCAGGTGCCATGTGGTCTCCTTGAACCCTTGTGTTAAGCTTCCAAATAGAAAAAACCATGGGACTCAGCACCCAGCCTTCCGGACAGCGAGCTGCTGGAGGTAAGGTGGGGCTGGCACAGGGGCCTGTGCCATACCGAAGCTGCTGCTTCTCAGCACACCACACTGCTATAAGCATCCTGGGGTAGCTCTGTGCCCCCTCACAGCCCCGCCCATCATCTCACACAATTGAGATGTCACGATCTTGCCACGGTTGGAATGATTGTAAACTCTGGCTCAGGTTTTATGGGGAAAGCTCATGGCTGGGGGTTCAGGCTGATGCTCGTCTTCCTAGTCTTCCTCCCTGGGATCTTTCTGCAGAGCGTTAAGATCTGTATTTTTGTTGATGATGATTGTTTTATTTTCTCCTCCTGTCTTTTCTTCTTTGTGAAACACTAAAGTCAAGATCCACCAGAAAGGTCTTTTTTGGGACCATTTTTCTCCAAGTCCTTTTTACAACGTCGAAGAGCTGGTGCAATTCCCTTTCTCCAATAATAACATGTTAAGTGATGCGGTTTCCATTTTGCCCAAGAAGTTCATAGGCAATTTTAATGTCATTATGTAAAACAACACACATTTATTCTCCTGCACTTTTGTAGGTCTGCAATCAGCCACAGGCATCATTGGTGTTGGGAGGGTTATGTTCTTTTCTGGAGGAAACAGGGCAGTGGAGCTCAACCTTCCCGATGCTGCAAACCCTTTAAAATAGCTCCTCATGTTGGGCTAACTCCCAATATAAAATTGTTTCATTGCTACTTCATAACTGCAATTTTGCTGCTGTCATGAATTGTAATGTAAATATCTGATAAGCAGGAGATCTGATATGTGATCCCCAAAGGGGTCACGATCTACAGGTTGAGAACCCAATCTAGGGAACAATCCACTGCCTTTGTAGCTTCTACAAGCCCTCTTCTGGGTCTTCCCTCAGAGCTACCTGTGACCCCAGCCATGGGAGCGATGTTGATTTCAAGGCCCAGCATGGCTTACTTGGGCTCACTCCTATGTCTTTCCTTCCTAACGTTAGTGCCCCTAATAGTGCTCAGAACGGAGACAGTTTTAAAGATCAACAGTTCCAATCTTGGATGACTAAGATCATTACTGATCATTGAGAAAATTAATTCAGAACTCAGCCATAAGGAGACTCACGTGAGAGCTGTCACATCAGAAGCAATGGGTGATGAACTGTCCCCATCACAATATTTTGTTAAACAAGCTTAAATAATGTAGCACATAAGCACAAAAATATCAAAAGAAACAACAATGCTCCAAGAACACAGTAGGTCATTAGTAGATGTGACTTGCTCCTACCTCCTCATGCACTAATATGATCCCCACTGACTTTTGTAATTTCCAGGGCATCTTTACTTCTTCTTCTTCTTAAGATAATAAGTAAGAACATAGAGGGTTAGTAACGTGGGCCAGCCCACACAGTGACTTTAGAAGCTTGAAATAGAAGCTAAGGTCCGTGCCTACAGTCCCAGTTACCCCTCCTTGCTACCACGGTCCTGCCCAAACCAGCTCCCACTCCACAGGCCTGCGTCTGACACGCTGACTGCCTCTAATGAGATGGCAACAGACGTTATTAGTCTGACGATGGAAGTGTCTGCACAGGCACATTCATTTGCTCACTAATAGACTTTGGCCGCACTCGAAAGAGTGCTAGACATTTGGATGCAAGAAGAGAAACATCTGGGTGAAAGCCGCAGACATCTGGATGTTCAAACAGGCACATTATCAGGATGTGTAGATTACGAATGTCCCATTATCTGGATGTTAAACTCAGGACGCAAGAGGAGCAGACAACTGGCAAGCATATGGAGCATGGGGACGGAGGTGATGCACACATCTGGGCACCCCTGCATACTAGGATGCTGCCCTGATGGATGGATGAATGGATGGATGGATGGATGGATGGATGGATGGAGTTTTTCCACGTGCCTCTTGGTTGTCAGGTACCACAGTCTCCCTAGAACAATAGGGGTGAGGTGTTTCCCGTCGGGTGAGAAATTGCAAAGGTCCGGGGACCCTGCTACCCACCTGGCATGTGGACCATGCGGCAGTTGCAGTTCTCCACAATGTAGCGGGTCTCACAGTCAATCCGACAGGCGGTGATGCTGTAAACGGGAAAGAAGTCGAGCCCCATCTCTGAGGATCGACACTCTCCCCACGGTGGGGGCAGATACGTGAGCTGTAAGACAGACAGAAGGAGAACACAGTCAGGCCTGGCAGAGGATACTCACTCGGTTTCCACGGACCCCGTGGCATGCTGGTCTACCTGTTCAATGGGCAAATAAGCAATTGAGTATCCTCAGCAAGCCAAACCCTGCTGGCTTTGTGAACCTTATTGTCTGGATACCACATGAGTTTTCCCACCTTGCTTTTTTTTGGGGGGGGGGTCAATTTTCATGGAATTTTGCTCTCCTCAGTCTTTTTATCTAAAGATTTTACCTTTTGTGTCCATGCATGTGCCTGTGAGTATGAACACATGTGCATGCATACGCCTGGTAGAGAGGCCAGAAAAGGGAATCGGATTCCCTGCAGCTGCGATTGCAGGTGGTTGTGAGTGACCATGTGGGTAGTGGGAACTGAACTGGGGTCCCCTACAAGAACAGCAAGTGCCCTTAACGGCTGAGCCATTGCTCCAGCCCTGTCCTTGGAGTCTGTTATCCAAGCTGTGCCTTTCCATATCAGTGTCAATAGTGGCACTTGGAATGACCCAGCTAAATTTTACCGTGTTGGCTGGGAAGACTGAGACCCCAGACACAGACCTGGAGGATAAGTCACAGAAGAGGACAGGTGAAGTGACTGCAGGGTGTAGCCACTACTTATGGTCCTGATCAAGCTGTGGATGACACTCCAGTGCAGATACTGTCACTCCCCTTCTCAGAGGTCCAGTAGCCATAGATTTTCTTTCTTTTCTTTTCTTTTTTTTTTTTTGATTTTCGAGACAGGGTTTCTCTGTGGCTTTGGAGCCTGTCCTGGAACTAGCTCTGTAGACCAGGCTGGTCTCGAACTCACAGAGATCCGCCTGCCTCTGCCTCCCAAGTGCTGGGATTAAAGGCGTGCGCCACCACCGCCCGGCTAGCCATAGATTTTCTAACATCTATTGTACTTGCTTGGGAGGGATAGGGAGGGTAGGGATGAGAGAGTTAATGGTCTTGGGGGCATTTACTATGCTATTGCTACTACACTAAGCAAACTCTTTATACCCAGCTTTCCTTTTATGATGGAAGAACAAGAAAAACAATAAAATGTACATATTTGGGGTTAGGAAGATGGCTCACCGGGTAAAACGCTTGCCATGAAAGTGCTCGGACCTGAGTTTGGATCCCTAGAACCTGTGGAACGTCTGTCATGGTGGTAGCACACACCCCTGCGCTACCATCATGAGAAGGGAAGTATTGACAAGAGACCCCTTGAGGCTCGAAGGCCAGCTAGAATGGTGTGCACAGTGAAGAGTGACAAAAGACTTGTCCCATCAAAGTGCGGAAGGTGAGGGTGAAACTTGAGGTTGAACCCTGATCCTCCATGCTCAATATGGGATGCTCATGCCCACATGTGTGCACGTGAGCACACACGCAACACCCCAAATCCTCTTTTTTTTTCCTGCCTTTTTTTGGTTTGAGAAAGGGTCTTACTATGTAGCTATGACTGTCTTGGAACTCACTTTGTTGGCCAGGCTGGCCTTGAACCCACAGAGATCTGTGCCAGCCTCTGCCTCCTGAGTGGTGGGATTAAAGGCATGAGGCACCGCACCTGGCCACACTACAAATCTCAAGTGCATGCTTTGAATTTTGTCAAACGTCACCATCTACCTGTGTAAACACTGCATCAATCAAGACATGTGACACTTTTATCCCTACAGAAAATGAATTCGTATCTTTTCCAATTAGGGCTCCATCGCCTTTCTGGGCAACCACTCTCACGAATTCTGTTACCACTGTCTGTCTAGTCTCTTTTCACACTTAGATAATTGACGGTTTGCCCTGTGTATTTTTTTGCCTGCTCCTTTCACTAAAAATGATGGTTTTGTGGTTGTTCCACATGGGAGTGCACCTGGAGTTCATTCCGTCTTTTCAGCTGACTCATTCTTTAGCTTATGAACACTCCTGGATTATTTATCCATTCGCCTGAGGGTGGGTGTTTGGGTTGGCTCTATATTTTGGTAATTATAAAGAAGACCCGTGAGTATTTGTTGAATTACTTAATTTATGGGCAAGGTCTCATACAGCACAGGCTGGCCTCAAACTTGCTGAGTAGCCAACAATGATCATGACCTCCGGATGGCTCTGCCTCCATCTCCCAAGTGCGAGATTACAGGCCTGTGTGACCACATCTAGCTGAGTGTGGTGGTTTGCACGGGTATGGCCCCATAGACTTCTGGGTCTGAATGTTTGGCCCATAGGGAGAGGCACCATTAGGAGGTATGTCCTTGTTGGAGGAAGTGTGTCACTATGGGGGTGGGTTTTGAGGTCTTATATGCTCAAGCAATGCCCAGTATGGGATACAGTTGCTTTTGCTGCCGGTGGATAAAGATGTAGAACTCTTAGCTCCTTCTCCAGCACTGTGTCTGCCTTGCTCCCCACCATGACGGCAATGGACTAAACCTCTGAACTGTAAGCAGCCCTAGTGAAATGCTTTCCTTTATAAGAGCTGCCATTGTCATGGGGTTTCTTTAAAGCAATAGAAACCCTAACTAAGACACTGAGTACTTATTTATGATTAATTTTGCAGACATTTTAGTTCCTCTTGAGTGAATGGCCAGGAGTGGAATAGCTGATTCTGATTCATGTATGTATGTATGTAAGCATGTATGTATGTATGGATGGATGGATGCGTGTATGATTTTATAAAAAATGGCCCAACTCTGATCTAAAGTGGTTCTACCACTTTATCACATTTATTTATTATTTATTGTGTGTGGGTATCTGTGTTTCAGTGTCTGTGCCATGTGAACGTGTGGAGGTCAGAGGGCAACCTGCAGGTGTTGGTTCTCTCCCCCAGGAGGGATCCAGGGATCAGACTCAGGTATTCAGACTCGGTGGCAGGTACTTTTCCCAGCTGAGCCATCTTCCCAGCTCTCCACTGTTCTATTTCCATTAAGAGTGAACGACAATTGTACTCTATCCAAGGACACTTTGTCTCCTTGTTGGTTTTAGCCATATTTGTTGGGGTTCAACTGTCGCACCTTGGTGTTTCTGTTTATAGTTCCCCCATGACTGATGATTTTGAGCACAACTTCATGTTTTTATCAATTATTTATATATTAATTTTCTGTGACATATGTTGGAGTCTTTTGCCCATGAAGAAACCCTGCTTGTTTTTTGTCTTTATTATGGAGATATAAGAATTCTCTGGCTGAATGGCCTGAATTTCAGGTCTGAGTCAAATGGGAAGTATACATCTTTTCTCTAGAGTCTGGGTCTTATTTTTGTCTTAGTGGTATCTATTTTTTTCCTACTTTAGAAACCAGCTTTAAGAATACATAACTTATATGATAAAATAGATCAAATTAGTGCATAACTGAATATTTTATTATTTTAGATTTATTTATTCTATGTGTATGAATGTTTTGCTCATATTCACATATGTGTACAGTGTGAGTACCCGGTGCCCTCAGAGGCCAGAAGAGGGCATCAGATGCCCTGGAACTAGAGTTACAAGTGACTGTAAGCCACCACATGGGTGCTGGGAACCAAAGTCCAGAAGAGCAGCAAGTGCTCTTACCTGCTGTGCCGTCTCTCCAGCAACTTGAATGAGTTTTTAAGAAAACGCATATCCTTGTGGTAATCACTGCGCTCAGACCATGGAACATATCTAATCTCCTCAAAAGCTCCCCACTTACGATCACTCCACCCCTTTTCCCAGCCCCCAGGCAACCATTCATCTGCTTCTGTCCTTATAAATGAGGTTTCTGTGCTCGAGGATTACACAGAAATAGAACAACAGCGCATGTATTCCTTTGTGGCTGGCAGCTTTCGCTCAGCAAAAATGTTTTTGACAACTATTCATACTCCTGAGTGTATCAATAGCTTGTTCTTTTTGATAGCTTGACTTTTATTTCTTTGCGTATAGTTTTCATTTTTGCCACACTGTTTTGCTTAAAAATTTCAATGTGATGTTGGGGAAAAAAAAAGCCCAGAGGGGGGCGGGTATTTTCTGGCCTCAATTCTAATCTTTGAAGGAAATAGCTTATTATTTCTCTATTAATCATGTTGATATACTTTTTTTGTTGTTTTTTCCAGACAGGGTTTCTCTGTGTAACATCCCTGGCTGTCCTGGAACTCATTCTGTAGATGAGGCTGGCCTCGAACTCACAGAGATCCGCCTGCCTCTGCCTCCCAAGGCTGGGATTAAAGGCATGTGCCACCACCACCCAGCTTGATATACATTTTTATTGGCTGATTGTTGCATTGAGGAAGTTCTAGCCTATTTCTAGTTTGCTAGGAATTTTTTTTCTATTTTTATTTTGTTAATTAAAAATTTAAAAATTCTGTGTATGTGTGTGTCTCTGTGAGCGTCAGGTGCATGCAGGATCATGGAGATACCAACAGAGGGCTTAATGGCTCCTGGAATTGGAGTTACAGGCAATTGTGAGCTACACTGTGGATGCTGGGGACCAAGCCTGGGTCCTGAGCAATAGCAGTAAGCACTCTTAATCACTGAGACATCTCTACAGCACCTCAATTTTTATTTTTATTTTTAAAGAAAATCACGAATGGAACTACATTTTTGTAAAGATATTCCCTGCCTCTAGAAAGGATCACATGACTTCTCTCCTTTATCCGGCTAGTATGGTGAATGGCGTTCATTGATCTACAGATGTGGAACCCATCTGTCGTCCCAGGACCAACCTTACTTGCTCATGATTTACTATTCTTTCTAGATTTTGCCATGTCTAATTTGCAAACATTTTCAAACAAAGTTTTGCATCTATATTTAAGAAGGACGCTGTATTTACACTTCTTCTAAGGTGATTTCGGTTTCTTTTATACAGTTTTGGTTAGCCTAGGTAAGTCTTGAATGAATTATGTAGCTCAAAAAGGCCTCTACCTCAGGATCTTCTCCCTCAGCTCTCTGAGTGCTAGGGTTATAGTTTTGAGTCACCATGCAAGACTCTTAAAATATCCTTTTAAGTGTTTGTAGAGGGAGCTGCGGGCCTCTTCCCACAGCCTGGCTCCTGGCAGC